GAACATTCGGTAGTGTAGCCCTCGCTGGAGCCCCGGGCTTGAGAACCTTCGGTAGTGTAGCCCTCGCTGGAGCCCGCGCTTGAGAACCTTCGGTAGTGTAGCCCTCGCTGGAGCCCCGCGCTTGAGAACCTTCGGTAGTGTAGCCCTCGCTGGAGCCCCGGGCTTGAGAACCTTCGGTAGTGTAGCCCTCGCTGGAGCCCCGCGCTTGAGAACCTTCGGTAGTGTAGCCCTCGCGCTCACACTGGCCCGCTGCGCGCAAGCGGCGGCCGCGTGCAGGGAGGGGGAGGGGAGGGGAGGCGGGAGGGGGCGGTGGCCGGCACCGCGAGCCGGCCCGCCCGTCCGAGTACTCGGTACGGTGTTGTGTAAGAGATACTGGGCATCAGAGCAGGGAACGCTGCGGCTCACGGCTTCCACAAACAGATAGCAATCATGGCAGCCCGCACTCGCTCACCCTGTTCGCCTCATTCACAGCTCCGGCTCACATTCTCGCAAAGGCCCCGTCTCACTGGGAGTGTGCTGCGACCGTCAGCCGCGGGCCGGTCTCACGGCCGCCCTCGCGGGGGCCTCACCAGGGCACCCAAGCGCACTCCTAAGCCTTGTCACACGCTGGGTAAGGCTGGGAATTGGTGGCAGCGTGCGATAACTGCATAATTGCGCCACCACATGACTCTGTCACTGTTTCCATAACCCTGAAATGTTCAGCCATGTCAGAAAGATATAACCAACAAAACCACAAAACAAAGAAGGGATGCATTCTCCTGCCTTCATAATAGTTGTATCCTTTCGAAGCGTTCAGATCCACATTGCACTTGCTCGCAACTGATCGCGTTTTCGTCGAAGTCTTAAGAGGACGCCAAACCGGGCCGGAGCGACCCCTCGGGCCATTTTCCATGTGGTGGAGGTCTGGCGGTGTTGGTGGAGTCGGCCGGACGACCCCTCGGGCCATTTTCCATGTGGTGGAGGTCTGGCGGTGTGGTGGAGTCGGGCCGGCGACCCCTCGGGCCATTTTCCATGTGGTGGAGGTCTGGCGGTGTTGGTGGAGTCGGGCTAGAGCGACCCCTCGGGCCATTTTCCATGTGGTGGAGGTCTGGCGGTGTTGGTGGAGTCGGCCGGAGCGACCCCTCGGGCCATTTTCCATGTGTGGAGGTCTGGCGGTGTTGGTGGAGTCGGGCAGAGCGACCCCCGGGCCATTTTCCAGTGGTGGAGGGGCGGTGTTGGTGGAGTCGGGCCGGAGCGACCCCTCGGCCATTTTCATGTGGTGGAGGTCTGGCGGTGTTGGTGGAGTCGGGTCCGGAGCGACCCTCGGGCCCTTTTCCATGTGGTGGAGGTCTGGCGGTGTTGGTGGAGTCGGGCCGGAGCGAACCCCTCGGCCCATTTTCCATGCGGTGGAGGTCGGTGGTGTTGGTGGAGTCGGCTGGGCGACCCCTCGGGCCATTTCCATGTGGTGGAGGTCTGGCGGTGTTGGTGGAGTCGGCCGGAGCGACCCCTCGGGCCACTTTCCGTGCGGTGGAGGTCTGGCGTGTTTGTGGAGTCGGGCTGGAGCGACCCCTCGGGCCACTTTCCGTGCGGTGGAGGTCTGGCGGTGTTGGTGGAGCCGGGTCGGGTACGCTGACCAGACAATGTATATTTATACTTCTGTGTGATTAATGCTCGGCCATTACAGTATACCAGACGCGTGTCGAGAAGTTTGGGGGCACATCGGGCGAGCATTGTGTGATTCGTCGGGAATTTCACTTCGTTGAGTGCCTTAAGGATGGGCGCAAAATGGCCCCGATGCCGACGCGCCCTAAAACACCAAATCACCATCAAAGTGTCTCACGGGAGTAAGTGTCAGCCATCGGCTGGTGTCCTCAACGAGACACCAGATGTAGGATGTCATTCAGCATCACATAAACACAACCAACACGCCTCGGCTGAGTGTGAATATCTTTCTAAAAAAAAACATTAATCACTGGTCATGTTCTAGGAATCTAGGTGGAACAACAATAGCTTAATCAAATAGATCATAGACTTACCGACGGATTTAGACAAGGCATTAGTGTCACAGGCTGAAAACTTGACCGATCTACCGTCCTCGCCTGGTGTGTTAGTATTTACACAAGTATACTCAGGTGTAAATACTGTATACACAAGTACACAAGTATACTCAGGTGTAAATACTGTATACACAAGTACACAAGTATACTCAGGTGTAAATACTACCACATCAGAGGAGGACGGTAGTCTGAGCAATTATACGATCCCGTTTAACTAGACCATGCTACTCCCTCCAGCCCGTGAAGTCGAGCGTGAGAAGGCTGGCACCTGGGAGCAGCTCCGCGGCCCGTGACGACAGCGCAGGCGCTCGCCACATCTCGCGCTCTCGCAGCCTGTGGTGACCTGACCCTGGAACCGCCCTGCAGAAGCCGCCCTGCGAGACGTTCACAGCAGGGCTCGAGTGCCTCGCTGCGCTGCCGAGTGTGCCGGAGCGTGTGGCAGCCCCTCGGCCGTGTGTTGGGCCGCGCTAATCACGCTGTGTTGTACTTACCCACGCGGCTACCCCTTGCTGAGCAGCCCCGGCACGACCGACGCCCTGGCTCAGGCGCCTGGTCAGGCTCTCCAGCACGCTCTCGCGATTCGAGGTGTAAGCCGGCCGACAGTCCGTCGTGTACGACACGTGATTCCGTTCTGAGGTACGCGTGCCGCGTGTTGCAACTGCTCACGTCGGGCATGGCCTGGCCCGTTCGTTCAGATCGTTCCCAATGCTGTCTGATACGCTGAGCGCGCGTGCGTCCTTAGATCTCACTTGTCGCCGATTGCCAGATGTTGTTTTGTCCTGCCAGAGCTATCACGCCTGAAATAAACCTTGCTCCATTGAAGCGTGATCTATTATTTACGGTCACATGAGGAACTGCATGACCTTTGCAACAAGTCATCCCAAATATATTGAATGGTGAGGCGACGCGAGTCCTGCCGTTATCCAGTAGCAGCCTCTCTGAACCTGCAATTCAGCTGAATCCTGAGGCGGCCACAGCTCCGGTATCAGGGTCAGGGTACCGGGCCCTCCTGCCTGATCCTGCATGACCCTCATGACACCGACAATTGACTCTGTCCGCTAAGTATTATGACGTAACTGTGCCGCTGGCAAAAACTCGGGCAGCAGGGCTGTAGACCCTAAGCATATCAGAGACACCGTGGCGCAAAGCTGTGCGGGCTTCGAATCGAACCAGCTGAGCAGGGAAATGCGACAGCGTGCGGCTCACAGTAGCTCAGTTTGAATGACACCGAGGGCTTCATCAAAACCACCGTACACTGCGTCCCATGCCACCGTGCGCGGTCCACCGATACTTCGAATATCATCACTGTCCACCCGCAGATGCGTCCGTGCGCTGCTTCGGTTGTTCGGATGAGCCGTTTCGGCCAGTCACGGCCAGTTCAGGGCTGTGGGATGGAGGAAAGTGAACAACGGTGGGGACAGAACTACACGCAACGGGGCGTTGATCCGCCTGACCGTCAACCCACTCTTAAGACCTTCGTGCGGGTATGTGCCGGGCGCTCGGCCGTGGTCTCCGCCAGAGGGCACTGCAGCCCACTCACGGCCGTCGCATGGAGCCTGCCCCCCCCCCCCCCCTCCCCCCGCCCAGATCATTTGAGTGTCGCGAGAAGACAGGATAGAGCAAGCATGAAGAAATTAGGGCCGTCGCTTGCTTGCGGATGTGAAGAGATAGGCCAACAAACTGCATACTCGGCCGGAGCAAAAGTTGCACTACTGAGATAAGCCATCCCAATCCGAGATGAAGAACGGACGATGGTGTCGAATACAGACGGTTATATGTCGTTCGTTTGGCTTCAGGGTAACCCGGCTTGCGTAGTAACAGTTGAAGTCCACACGCATTTTGTTCCTTGTTACAATGTGCATCTGATTGCAACGAAATTATAGGGCAATGGGAAGCTTGCGAAACAGACCGAGGTCCATTCCGGTGTCTGCGGTATGTTGTGCAATCAAGTCCAGAAAGCCAACCCGCAGTCAACGAAGACGGCGGTGGAGAGCGACTCATAGCTCAGATGGAGCTTTCAGACAAGGAGCTGCTGCAGATATTAGCAAAGATCGTCTACTCTCTAGTCGTATCTCCCAGATGGAGAGTGGTCATACTATGGCAAGTCTCACACAGCCTCGTGCTAGTACGTCCAGATATATAGCTTGTTTACAGCACTTTTTGGCTTAGCGTGTTCTTGACAGACATCAAACATGCACGCCACTCGTTTTCGACGACACGAAATGTTGCACAGTCAGCGGTCACCGGTACCGCTTTCCAGTGAATTGTTTTGCTGCATTCGGTCGACGGTCCACCGACATGACATGCATGCGCCGTTACGGAACACGTAAGGCAAAGGCTCCGTTCGCGGACCGTTAAGACCAGTCCGCCACTTTCCCTCGGGATGTGCCGGGACAGTTCAGCAGGACCGCGACACGCTGAGCGTGACGGAGCGGAGGGTGTAACATTCAAGTCACTCGTAGTTACGGAATGAGCCAGGGGCGCACCCAGGCAACTTTGAGTTAGTACTGGCATTGAAATAAATGGCGGGGAATGCAGAGATGTTCTGGCTATTGCGTTCAAATCGGAATTGAGGCATGGTCCCATTTCCTCAATCCTTGCGTATGCACCTGAGCCGATTCTGCACACCCGTGACAGACTCTACTGCATGCCCCACTCTCCCTGCAACGCCATTCCTGTTGCGTCCTCTCCAAAGGAGCATGCCGCACAACTCATGCCACCTCCCCCCAAAATCGCCTCCCTGAGCGCGCCCCTGCGGTTGGCGTGCTGGCGCGCGGGCCTCAAGGGGACCTCAGCAGCCAGCCGCCGTATCACCAGCTCGAAACCGGCCACCGCCGCGGCGGCCCTGGCAACCGGCCAGCCGCCAATCGATGCCCGCCGTCGCGCTGACGTCACGTGCCGCTCGCCCAATGGCGGCGCGCGCCGGTCGGCCGCCGCTGGACGATTTTCGCTGGCGTGGTCGGCCGCCGCCCCTCACTCACCGCCCGGCCCGCTAGCGTCGCTGGCGTCTGTTGTGAGGAAGCCCAGCAGCGCGTCGCCGGCGTCATCAGCGCGCCGGAGCGACCCCCAGGTCGCCGGACTGAGTGCAGTGTATTAGGAGCGCCCCTGAGCGCGCCTGACCCGCACCGTAGCCATGGACGTAAGTGACGGTCGCGCGGCAGTCCTGGGACAGGACGCCGCGCTGGGGAGGCCTGTGCATGCGTCTGCCCGTCCCACGGGTCTAACCGTACGCGGCCCGCGAGACCGGTCTCGGCCGGTGGGGCCCCGGGGTCTGGTGACGCATCGTGCAGGGTAATAACCCGGACCCCTTTGGCAGCCGCCGGGGCATTGCGTTCGGGGTCTGGCATGAACTGCGCCGCGATCGCGGCGGGGAAGCCGAGCGGCTACCACACATGGTGCCTCACTCACCACTGCAGAGGTTACTGGGCTGAAGATCTATTCTTCCTGGGATGCCAGCGCATTCCAGGCTGCCATTGAGATATGGTGACTGAGGGAGGGGTGAGAAGCCCATTGGGGAGGAAGTGGAAGTCAATGCGGGGATGAGACTTCTGGCGCTCTGCTTCACCTGCAGGTTGCGGCCGCCCCCGAGGCCGAAGGTCCCAGTGCTTTTTGACATTAGGACATCCGCAGGGTTCCTAAACACCGAGAAACACCCCTCCCCTCCCCTCCCCTCGACATCAAAATAGGAGCCCGAGCCCAAAAGCTCCCCGAGTACAACAATTGACCTTAAAGCGGCAAAGAAAGACCCTCGGCTGAACGGGCTGTCCCGTTTGACCCGCTTCGGACCCCTCCTACGCGCAGTACCGGTGACGTCACTGCTCATGCCGTTCTAAGTCGTCGGAAAATTCCACCGACGGTGACCGGCGCCCGGATGGCGGTCCTGGCCGCTCCGCCATCTGAGGTCGCGACGACGTAAGCCTCCCCGTCCCGCGCTGTTTACGTATAACGAGCTGCTGACTGTTCGGACCGGTTCTTCAAACTTCAGGCGTCAGGGCCTTGACCGGCGTTGGGTTGCAGCGCCCGCTACCGGCCGGGGACTGCTGACTGGGCTAGCGTCCGGCCTCGCTGGGGCGGGTGTCGGCTAGGGCAGTGCTGGCTGGGGCGGGGTAGGCTGGGGCGGGGCGGCTGTCGGGGGAGGGGAGCGGCACGGTCAGCTGGGTCTGTGCAGGGGAAGGGGAGGGGGTTGCCGGGCGGCCCGCCGGTCGATGCAGGTAGCCGGCGCCGCCGGTGTGACGTCACCGCTCGATACCCGCCAGGCCGGGTGTCAGCGCGCAGGCGCCCGGCCCCTCCCCCCTCCACACCGGCGCCGCCAGCGTCTGCGGAAACCACACTCAGGGTATCGGGTTTAAAGCTGGCGATGGATATTGATTGGATGCCGAGCAAATAAGGTGGCCCCGAAGCATTCATAGTAGCTTGCACTCAGCTGCCAGATATTGGTGTAGGAAACCCTTGTTGCACATGAACGTTGGCCTCTTATTCGCGGGTTGAATGATGGCGTAAAGGAGTATTCTGATGATTGGACACTCTCGCCAATAGCACACCTCAAAGAGTTCGATGGGTGGGCATGCTCAAGGTCGTCTCACGACGGACCCGACCTCTTCGCCAATTTACCTCAGCGGCCAATCAGTATGCTCAGTGGCGCTTAGCTCAGTGGCGGTCTTTCGCTCTCCACCTCGCGCCCCCGAGACTGCCGCTTCGGGTCCAAAGGTCGGCAGAAGTATTCCACCGCACTCCATGCGTCTTCTGCTGCTCCCTTCCGCCGCTCCCTTTCGTTGCTCCCTTCCGCTGCTCCCTTCCGCTGCTCCCTTCTGCTGCTCCATTTTGCTGCTCCCTTTTGCTGCTCCATTCTGCTCCTCCCTTCCGCTACTCCCTTCTGCTGCTCCCTTTTGCTGCTCCCTTTTGCTGCTCCTTTTGCTGCTCCCTTTTGCTGCTCCCCTTTTGCTGCCCCCTTCCGCTGCTCCCTTCCGCTGCTCCTTTCTGCTGCTCCCGTTTGCTGCTCCCGTTTGCTGCTTCATTCTGCTGCTCCCTTCTGCTGCTCCCTTTTGCTGGTCCCTCTTGATGCTCCCTTCTGCTCTTCCCTTCCGCTCATTTCGCCCCACGAGGAAAAAGTCTGCGGCAAACCTGAGCCATTGACGAGGTTGCACTGTTGGTGCCGGCTCTCGCGTGGGGTCAGTTCACTATCGGCCTAAAGCGTGCGTCGCAGTGCGCGTGACTCACACAGGTGCGACTGAGGGTCATCATATCGTCCATATCCACAGGTGTGTCGACGCACAGCTGCTAAATCGATGGGCAGTGAGCATTGTGGCGTAGCACACACAAAAAGTATGGAAATTGCTTTGATTGCGTCTGGGTCCTTAGCTCAGCTTCGCGCAGCGACAAAGCCATGTATTTATTTGCCTCGCTGAATATATGTGACTTACGTCAAAGCCACGCCTTCCATGCATTGTACGTTGTAGACGTGAAATATAATTGCACACACCCGTGTTACAGTCAGAGGCGTAGGCACTTCAGTCGATATCGAGGAAATGAGAGGGAGGTAAACCCTATGCTGAGGTTTGTTCTTTACCATGCGTTACACAAACCCCATGCTGAGGTTTGTTCTTTACCATGCGTTACACAACATCAACGTTGATTTGTTGTGGATAAGTGGGGCAATCGCCCCTTTCTTCCCCTCCAACTTACAACGATGCGTAAGTAAAAGCGCACACACATTTAAACTACGAGTATGCCTGTACTATGTATGTAGTCAAACTTTTCAATGGCATTTGTTGTGTACAAATCCTCACGACATAGTCAACATTGAACCCATGAGCTGATACCGCCGCGTCCGCAGGTGCGGGCGCATGGGACCTTTCGCCCGACCTCGCTGTGATGAAACGCACAGGGGATGCTTGGAGCGGGACAAGTGAACGCACCTTCGCCCCCACCCTGGGAGCTTACGTCACATGCGCTGCACATGTCCCTCCGCCTCCGGAGGCGCCAAAGCTATCCATCAAGCCGAAGGCAGAGACTCTTGACACGTACGCACACCCGCTCGTCCCCCGCCGCCTGCCCCAGATGCTCACCCCTGCCCCAGATACTCACCCCTACCCCAGGTACTCACCGCTGCCCAGATAATCACCCACCCCAGCCCTGCTGTGTTGGACTAGCGTTTGGTGCCTGTTTGGTTTCGACTCACGCAGCTCGTGTTTGTGACCAGTGACCTCTAGCTAGCGGGGCCGGCGGCCGGGGCGCGCGCACGAGCGCTGGCCGGTCGGCGCGACTGCTCGCGCGCCAGTAGAGCTTGCCCAGCCGCCTGCCGCAGTGTGCGTGTGTCTCGGCCTGAGCATGCGTCCCAGGGCCGGGTGGGCGCGTGTGACGGGCCACCCTCGCCTTTGTGTTACAGTACGGCCGACCCGACTCGTACCGCGCCGCCACCACGCCAGCCGTGGCCGACGATAATATCACAGCTCACGGCCAGCTCAAGGTAGGCCTGGCGACGGACCGACCTCCGCGCGCGCCGCCGTCCCCCCCGCGGCAACTCCTGCTCCTGGTCAGCACCTGTCGACCTGGGCACCAAACTGACCTGCTCCTGGTCAGCACCTGTCGACCTGGGCACCAAACTGACCTGCTCCTGGTCAGCACCTGTCACACACCTGGACACCCTAGCTGACATCCTGCTCCTGTCAGCACTGTCACACCTGGACATCAAACTGACCTCCTGCTCTGGGCAGCACCCTGTCAACCTGGACACCAAACCGATCTCTACTCTGGTCAGCACCTGTCACATCTGTCACCCAAACTGACCTGCTCCTGGTCAGCACCTGTCGACCTGGGCACCAAACTGACCTGCTCCTGGTCAGCACCTGTCGACCTGGGCACCAAACTGACCTGCTCCTGGTCAGCACCTGTCGACCTGGACACCAAACTGACCTGCTCCTGGTCAGCACCTGTCACACCTGGACACCAAACTGACATCCTGCTCCTGGTCAGCACCTGTCACACCTGGACATCAAACTGACCTCCTGCTCCTGGGCAGCACCTGTCAACCTGGACACCAAACCGATCTACTACTCCTGTCAGCCTGTAACCGGACACCAACTGCCTGCTCTGGTCAGCCCTATCCCTGGCACCAACTGACTGCCTGGTCAGCACTGTCACACCTGGACACCAAACTGACCTCTGCTCTGTCAGACCGCAGTTCGCCTGGTCAGCACTGTACGGGACACCAACTGACCTTCTGCTCCTGGTCAGCATCTGTCAGACCTGGACACCAAACTCTTAGAGGGTCCCTGGACACACGACGCCCTCCCTGCAGTCAGGGGTATGTATCACAGCACCACTGCGAGAACTATAAATGCACGGATTCCTCTTTTTGTATTCAGGCTGCACTCCCTGGAATTTTGAAACACACCACGTTTTTCAGAGTAATGTGAAACAGGGTTTTGGAGAACATTTGCAGAAACACGGATAAATGTATACTATTGTATTTTGCCCCAGAATAAATTCAAGCATTATTATGTTCCAAGCATGGCCATCTCGTAAAGCACATGTTAAACGCTCCCACCTCGCAACGTCGTGAGTTTTTCTACGCCCCACATTCCCGGGGGCGGTACCACACCAGGCTGACACATTCCGGGAGTGGTACCACACCAGACTGACACATTCCGGGAGTGGTACCACACCAGGCTGACACATTCCGGGAGTGGTACCACACCAGGCTGACACTTCTGGGGGCGGTACCACACCAGGCTGACACATTCCGGGGCGGTACCACACCAGGCTGACACATTCCGGGAGTGGTACCACACCAGGCTGACACTTCTGGGGGCGGTACCACACCAGGCTGACCGAGCCGTCCTTCTCCCGGGCCGTCTTGCGCCGCCGCGCGCCACTTTCACTGTATTTCCCAGTCGGCGCACGGCTCCAGTTGCCACACATCCCACCGCACCTGTCTCGCTGGCCTTCCATTCCCTCTCAATGAAAGCCGGGCCCGGGTGCGGGCCGACGCGCTGACCTGTTTCCGACGGCGACGGTCCGACGGCGGGGCGGCGGCCGCCCCTGTCCTTGGCAGCGGCCGTCCCTGCGTCCGCCGGCCGCTTGGCTCGCGGCGCGGGGTCGTCGCGCGCCGACTACGCGCGAGCTCGCGGCCGACACGGTAGGTGAGAGCAGGTAAGAATGCCTGGTATGTCGAGATGGCATCGCAACACAGCATGGCCACCGCTAATCAGTCCAATTTCGCTCGAGTCTTGCGCAGAACTTGTTTTTTTCCGTTTTTCTGGTGGTCGTATGTCTTACCGTAAAAGCCAGTCGGCTAATAGAACGGGGCTCCTGATTTAGGCTTTCTGGCACATTACCACTCTCCCATTGTCGTAGATACCCGTCCAAGCACATTTAGTAATCGATGCTGTATACAGCTCTCCTCCCGTACTCAGGAGTATAAAAATAAACACGGCAGACTACAACGCATTCCCCAACTGACATTCACAACCTCCTCGCAGTGCAGGCATCATCGTGGTTTCCTCAATAGGTTGGCAACCACGCAGGTTTTAAGAGGTGAAACACATATTTGGTGGGGACCAGCGGGCATTGCCTGAAGTTTGGTATATGGATACAGTTCCATTACACCGATTTCTTTGAAGTCGATGAGACGTTCGTGCAGACAACGCACAGCTGATCACAAGTGTCGAACTGTGTCACACATGAGGTCTGCTGTGGCATTTCAGTATCTCAGACGTGGAACTACAGTTATTTATGTTAACGATGATTCACTTCTGTTGTTAACGCACGCGCCCTTTTTCAGTCGAAGAGGCAGAAGCCTGAAAAGAAGAACAAGAAGTCCAAGAAGGGAGATGAGCGGAACCTGGATGACCTCAAGCAGGAGTTGGTGCTCGATGAGCACATTATTTCTCTTGAGGAGCTCCAGCAAAGACTCGGGAACCAATGTCGAGAGGGTGAGGTCTTTTAGATAGTTACCACCGCTGAGCACCGCTTTTTCTCCGCCGAAAGGAAACGAGCTGTATAACCGGCGAGGGCCACTCTCATAAATCTGCCACATCTCTTCGTGTGCTATTTGGTGTGTCCACTCTTGATGTGTTTGATGCTCGATATTGCATATGCGTTTTTCAGCGTCCATCACTTAGTTATTCTACGTTCATGACAAACGGCGGGAAAATCGGTTCGGTGCCGTCAGTTCGAACGAATCAGCGTCGGGCGGTGGCTGTTGACCGGTGGGGGGATGCATGGGTTTCGCTGTCAGATGCGGCACCGGTCCGGACGCGCACTGTACCGGCACGCCTGTTTGGCAGGGTCTAACGGAGTCACGGGCGCGGGAGAACCTGGAACGGTATGGCCCGAACGCGCTCACGCCGCCCAAGAAGATCCCCGAGTGGGTCAAGTTCTGCAAGAACCTGTTCTATGGGTTCTCGCTGCTGCTCTGGATCGGGGCCATCCTGTGCTTCGTGGCGTACTCGATCCAGGCGGGCACGTTCGAGGAGCCGCCAGATGATAACGTGAGCACCAGAACACCCCGCCGTCAGCCAACGATGCTTGATGAAATGATTGCAACAAGTGAACAGTTGTCACTTCAGTACTGATGGAGACGCCCATGCCGCATGTATCAACGAGTTGTGTACTACTTTTCATTTCGCGAGCCGAAAGCGTGGTAAGGCGTGTGAAAAATGACGCAGTGTCATGACCTTAACTTCTAAGCAATGTAAATAGTATCGTCTGTTCTAGTCAGATTCGTACTGTGCCATGATCCGGTGATTGACTCCAGCTGTATCTGAATTGCTGACGTTGTGGCGTGTTGTCCAGCTGTACCTGGGTATCGTGCTCTCCGCCGTCGTCATCATCACCGGCTGCTTCTCCTATTACCAAGAGTCGAAAAGCTCCCGTATCATGGAATCCTTCAAGAACATGGTGCCGCAGGTTTGTGAAGGCTGGTGGTCATCTTGGGAATCCTTTTTGCTTGTTGTTTGATTCACTATTGTTATTTATAAGCCTGCACGTGTACCTCCATGGTTAACTCATCTGACCAGCTGTGCCGCAAGAGGAAAGCAGTCCGAATATGTATGCATGAGAGGTGTACCATCAAATGTTCATCCGCCCCCATCGCACCGTGATTGTTCTGTCTGGTTGTCCATCCTTGCAGTGCGGTGCACCCTGGCCTTCCCGTAACACTGCCCATCATTTATTTGTTGGAGTCTCGTATTCCTTGTCGTTTCTTTCTCGTTCCGTGGTGATTTCCGTGACGCGTGCATTCCCCTATCTCCACAGGGTGCCCTAACAATCCATGAACGTGTCTCTTCCTTTGCAGAACCCTCGGTTGATTCCCTGATACATCCTTTGACTCCCTCAGTAAGAGTTAATGGTCCGGAGGAGAGACAATGACGCGTCTCTCTTCCCCAGCAGAACGCCTGGTTGATCCCTGGCATATCCTTCGACTCACCAGTTGCACCCTGTTGATGCCCATGGTACAGTTTCTATTCTCACAACATGTCTCAGTGGTGTCCTGATGTTTCCTTTAACTCCTTTAGTACACCCAGACGATTTTATTGACCCATCCTGTACTCCCGTAGAACTCGGCGGTCACCTGTCGCGCCTGCGAGTCCCACACTACGCCCGGCCTCCCTGACATCCAGTGTTGCTTCACTGCCACAGTACGCTCTGGTCGTCCGCGACGGCAACAAGTCGACGGTTCGCGCAGAGGAGCTGACGCTCGGCGACCTGGTCGAGATCAAGTTTGGAGACCGCGTGCCGGCCGACGTCCGCATCATCGAGGCGCGCAACATGAAGGTGGACAACTCGTCGCTGACCGGCGAGTCGGAGCCGCAGAGCCGCAACGCCGAGTACACGGCCGAGAACCCGCTCGAGACCAAGAACCTGGCCTTCTTCTCCACTAACGCCGTCGAGGGTGCGTGACGTCACGGCCGGTGACCGATGGGGGCCGGGCCAGCTGGCCTGACGCCACCCCCCACCCCTACCCCCACTGTTTGCGGCTGTGAGGCTGAACGGGAGCACGTGGGACGGGTCGTGCGAAAAACAAGTGCGGTGTGAAAACTTGGTATTTGAACAGTGGCCAGATGTTTGTCCGCCTGTCGGCTCCGGGTTTTGAAAGCTGGCGGGAGGACGCCGAGGCGGAGCGCTCACCTGTGGCCGCGACGTGCTGCGTTTGATTTTGATCATCCGGTGCGTTTCCGTTTCCCCTTTTGCAATGGACATGACAAGACTACTACGCGGGGGGCCAGAGGAGTTTAAAGGGTTGCCTTCATCGAAACATAGCAAAAGATGGTTAGTACGCTATGTCCAGCCTGCCTAACCAGCTGTAATGCGACACACTGCCTGATGTCGCCGATCCCATCACCGCTCGCCCGTTATCGCCAGGGACCTGCAAGGGTATCGTGATCAACATCGGCGACAACACTGTGATGGGTCGGATCGCCGGCTTGGCCTCCAGCCTGGACACTGGCTCGACCCCGATCGCGCGTGAGATCGAGCACTTCATCCACATCATCACCGGCGTGGCCGTCTTCCTCGGCGTCACCTTCTTCATCATTGCGCTCATCCTCGGATACAACTGGCTGGACGCTGTCATCTTCCTGATCGGTACGAGGGAGTACAGGCCCAAGATAGACGTCGAGTACGAAACTGCACTAACCCGTCTGGGTGTTGTCGTCGCAAATACAGTAGTTGTGGATTTAGTGCGTTTATGAGGCCCAGTAGTCCGTGTCATTTCTTGCATTGTCGATCTGTACTGGGAATGTGGCATCTTTCCGCGACCGTGGTAATGAGAGGGCGTAGTTCGAACCGCTGCTGCTGGGTATTGCTCAGGGCCTTCGCTACTTTGGAAATATGTCCGCGATGCGCTGGTGCATGCGTCAATCCGCTTCAGGTATCATCGTGGCGAACGTGCCGGAGGGCCTGCTGGCTACGGTGACGGTGTGCCTGACGCTGACCGCCAAGCGTATGGCCTCCAAGAACTGCCTGGTGAAGAACCTTGAGGCCGTGGAGACCCTCGGATCCACCTCCACCATCTGCTCCGACAAGACGGGCACGCTCACGCAGAACCGTATGACGGTGGCGCACATGTGGTTCGACAACCAGATCATCGAGGCGGACACGACAGAGGACCAGTCCGGCGCCTCGTACGACCGCAACACGGAGGGCTGGAAGGCACTGTCGCGCGTGGCCGCCCTCTGCAACCGGGCCGAGTTCAAGGTCGGACAGGAGAGCATGCCCATCCTGAAGAGGGATGTCAACGGTGACGCGTCAGAGGCGGCGCTGCTCAAGTGCTGCGAGCTCGCAATGGGCAACGTCATGGGCTACCGCGATCAGTACAAGAAGGTCTGCGAGGTGCCCTTCAACTCCACCAACAAGTTCCAGGTGCGGATGGGCGTAACGCGCGGTGTTTTGTGTAAAGCTGGGTGTGTCGCCGGCCCGTGACGCGCGGTGCAGTCGAGCAGGTTTAGCGCGCTAAAAGTTAAATCATCAGCATTATAGCTTGGGCCTAAGTATTTGTTAAGAATGCTTTTGTATTCAACCTGTGACTTAAATAGTTTGCGTGAATATGTGCAAGGTAGTGATAGGTTTAGAATACTTAAATCAATAGAAAAACATTGCTGTCTTGTTTTGGCAATATTATTTTTAGCATGTTTTGTGATGATTGTCATGTTTTGGGAACTCAGGCACCACGATTGAAATTTTAACGTTAAGGTGTTCATTCGTGTTGTAATGTTGACCTTACTGATGCGCATTTTTAGCTGGGGCTTACTTACAATATTTCCTTTCCTGCAGGTATCTGTCCACGACTTCCGCCACGAGACGCCGAACAACCCCAACTTCCTGGTGATGAAGGGAGCTCCCGAGCGCATCCTGGACCGCTGCTCCACCATCCTGCTGAACGGCCAGGAGAAGCCACTGGACCAGGAGATGAAGGACGCCTTCAACAACGCCTACTTGGAGCTCGGAGGACTCGGAGAGCGTGTGCTAGGTCAGTCACTTGACCGAACGGGCTAGCGAACTGTGTAGCTGACTAGTGATTGTTTTATTTCACAACGGCCTCAACCAACTGGAGATGAATTATAGTTACGCATTTCCCTTCCTTTCACCGACGTTTGCTTCTTACAACGGCTGTTCTGGTACTGAAATATTGTTGGCGTGGTTAAGATAGTATCGGCTGATCGTGTGCCGCAGGCGGTCCACTGCGATAAGGTGTGATTAGGCTGGATGTAATCGGTCCAGAAGCTCAGCCGCTTCCCCTTGCCTTCCGTCGCTTCGCTGACCCCTGTCGGCCCCTCCCACAGGGTTCTGCGATTTCTCGCTCCCCGGCAAGGACTACCCCAGCGACTATCCATTTGACAGCGACGAGATCAACTTCCCGCTGGAGGGGCTCCGCTTCGTCGGCCTCATGTCCATGATCGACCCGCCGCGCGCCGCCGTGCCCGACGCCGTGGCCAAGTGCCGCTCGGCTGGCATCAAGGTCATCATGGTTACCGGCGATCATCCGATCACGGCCAAGGCCATTGCCAAGAGTGTCGGCATCATCTCGGAGGGTGCGTGGATGGCTGCTGTCTAGCTTTCTTGCAAAGATTCGTCTCCTTGTGGCTATGTGTCAGTTTTGTGTCTGATGTGTAACGTAATGTTTAGTCGTGTCCATGCGTGCTTAGCTTGTTTCATGTTTCGGAACTATTTTCATTACCGGCGGAGTTATGTTAAGCCAGGGGAATTCCACTGCACAAGGCTGAAAACAAAGAGATTCCTGGAGGTAACCCAGAAAATAATCACTGCTGAAGCATGAGCTGCGAACATGCGTGTCGGACGGAGAAAGCGCAAACACGACGGCCGACCGCACGCGCCCAGTCTGACCCTCTTCCTCCACCAGGCAACGAGACTGTGGAGGACATCGCGCAGCGTCTGAACATTCCGGTGGGCGAGGTGAATCCTCGCGAGGCGAAGGCGGCCGTCGTGCACGGCTCCGAGCTTCGCGACATCAGCGCCGACGACCTGGACGACATCCTCACCCACCACACGGAGATCGTGTTCGCGCGCACGTCACCGCAGCAGAAGCTCATCATCGTGGAGGGCTGCCAGCGCCAGGGCGCCATCGTGGCCGTGACGGGCGATGGCGTCAATGACTCGCCCGCGCTCAAGAAGGCGGACATCGGTGAGAGGGACAGGCTAGCCGGCCTCTCTGTTTCGTGTTTCTTTCTCATTTATCCGCTATGTTGCTTCGTTTGCGTGCTGTGCTGGTACTTCTTTGTGACCTGCACGCGGTTTCACGCGTTGCCCAATGCAGTCAAGGTAGGTTTGCTTTGGTTTTGTACGTCTGCACGTTTGCTCCACTTGTTTGTGTGCTATCCGCGTGCAATTGTTTCCCGCCATCCACGAGCTGGCATGCTTTGCTGATGCCTTTGTTCGCCCTTCTCATTAGGCGTCGCCATGGGTATCGCTGGATCGGACGTGTCGAAACAGGCCGCCGACATGATCCTGCTAGACGACAACTTCGCCTCCATCGTCACTGGTGTCGAGGAGGGCCGCCTGATTTTCGACAACCTGAAGAAGTCGATCGCCTACACGCTGACGTCCAACATTCCCGAGATCTCGCCAGTTCCTCTTCTTTATTCTGCTGGACATTCCCCTGCCTCTGGGAACCGTCACCATTCTCTGCATCGACTTGGGCACGGACATGGTGAGAGCCGTCGACACCGGCCGCAGTCCACTGAGGCGTCGCCACTCGTGTAAACTGTATAATGCTTCAACAGGTGACTCACTTCTGGGTAAGCAGCGGTCACCGCTGCTTGTGTCTATGGCCTTTACCAGGGAGGATGCAGCTGTCGCAGCTGCAGCGTCAGATGGGCGTTGCCTGTATGACGAACCATACTGTCTGCTGAGTTTGAGAAGCATCATTTAGCTTGCGGATGCTTATCGCTGACCCCGGTAGTAATGGGTGCCTGCGCTGCGTGGTTCTCGCCTTTTCGGCGAACTTGACCTTGCACTTGAATCTAACTGTGGTTAGACAACTAGTTGTGTCCTATGGCTTCCTCCGCTCACGGGTAGCTGAAATAGTCTTGCTTTCATAAAGTACTATGTCCTTTGTTCTCGTCGCAGCCTCCAAATTGGTGGGCATAACAACGTTGCGTCGTTGATGGTTTCGTCATGCACGTCGATATTCCTAAATCCCCTTTCCCGAAATGATTGATATATGTTGCTGTTCATTTTTTAAAAATGTTCAGGACAGAAAAGTAAAGAATGCCGAGTCTAACAATGCGGTTACCTCCCAACTCCTTCCGCGCGCCCAGACATGACCGCAACAAATCACCGAAAACTATCAGCTCGACGGGAGAGACAAACGCTCCTCCAGCCATCCGTGACCCACCTGAGTGTCTCTCTATTGACGACAGGGGCTGTCCCTCCCCCGTGTGGTTAGTAGGGGCTGCGTGTTGTGTGGTGCCGTGGACCGTCTGCCTTCGCGCCAGGACACCTGTGCCCCGCTCACGTGCCGCCCAGCTGCTTACGACACTGCCGGGGCCGCGCGGCCTCCGTGTGCCCCGCCTGCCGCACGTGTTTCAGCGCGCACGTGCCACGTGTCCCGGCGCCGCACGTGTGGCGTCGGCGAGCGTCAGTAACGGCGCGCCCCGCTCCAGGTCCCGGCTATCTCCCTGGCCTATGAGAAGGCCGAGTCAGATATTATGAAGCGGCGTCCTCGGGACCCAGTGCACGATAAGCTTGTTAACGAAAGGTAACAGGCGGCGGCAGCTGTTGCTGGCATGCCCACTGCTCCTGATGGCCGGCCAGCCCCGGTGATGGTTTTGGTCCCCCTCTACAGTTTACACCTTTTGGCATGTTTTTTTATCAGTCACCGGCCGGTGGATGGGTAGGTACGGTGCAGGCGGCCGCGAGATAGGAGACGAGTGTGTCCTTCGGTCAGGTAGGCACAGCTTGGTCACCCTGGTGATCAGTGTCTGGGTGAGTACCGTGCTCAGGGTCATGAACACCTGGCCAGCGCTCGCCCGGCTACCCGTGGAGGGTTTCTTTTGTCTACAGCACGAGCCACGCCAATAGTCGCCGTATTTAAGCTGGTAGCAGGAGCTAGCGTTATTAATCCACGAGCCACCTAGAGCATTACATATATGGCCGAGATCGCGGTGGTTTCTGGTAAGTCTAGGTACTAGATAGACCCTGTCCGCTCGCCTCGCCCATGGACATAGATCTGGTGCCGCTAGCTGCAGGCTGAAGGCTGTCGGCTGTATGGCGGCACTGGAGTTCCAACCGAGTCGTCCCATCTGCTGCCGGAGTCGGCACACAGGTAGCCACCTTTCGCACCTCTTGTTCGGCATGTGGGTTTCAGTACGTTTTAGGCACTTTTTTAAGTTGGCTGCCATTTCTGCCCTTTAGGTTCCTGCCATTTCTCTGGCTTACGAGAAGGCCGAGTCGGACATCATGAAGAGACAGCCGCGTAATCCGCTTACAGACAAACTGGTCAACGAAAGGTAACTGCTTTATGTACACTAGGCGATAGGCTACTACCGGTAGTGCGATGTGCGCAGTGTTCGTGACGTGCGCGAATGTCTTTGTGTATGACAATAACTATCATAAGATGCATCGCAGTTCACTAACTCTTTCTGTGCCTGGCTTTAGAGGTTTCCAGCTCCCTGACGGGTATCGAAGCGGATCCCTTTTGGAAACGTTGAACAGCGGATTATGTTCATCCGCCCCGATGGGTGTGCGGTGTGCACTAACTGCTCGAGACTCTCAGGAATCCGTTGTTTTAACTTCTTCCTGTCTCTTTGACGCCCTCCTGGGACGGTCAGTGGCTGTCTCATCGGCTATCAGAGCAGCCATTTGCTCTTCGTTCCTTCAGCTGGTTTTCAATTCACGATATCTGGCGTACCGTGCTTACCTGCCATTTTTGTCCAGCTTTGTATCGTAACCAACTGACCTGCCTTAGCTAAGTTATGCAAGTAACTATCCAACGCATCTGGCATGTTGATGCATCCTCTGAAACAGGACTTGCCTATTTTAACACTGCTGCTTCTCAGAACCCATGAAGTGAGCAGAATGTTGAAAACTGGCACGCGTTTGTTTGAGGCATGATTTTCGTTTCCGCGTGTTGGTCTTTGGCATGCTACGCTCAAACGTCGTGGAAAATCACGTGTTTGCAGTTTATGTGCAATAATGCTTCCAGTAATGTCCGTGCGTCCGAATCCCACAGCGAAAGCACCCATACTTCCGCCGCCATGGCTCTAGCCGCTCCACCGTCCGCTCAGTCGATGGTGGTCAAACGTCGGCTAGCTAAAAACTCCGTAACTCGAATGTTGATTCAACATCTTCCAGTCGCGTGACGCCGAATTCAGATTTATTTACCTTGTGCATTGCATTATTGCTGTGGCACATTACCGTTTCTCAGCGCGTGACGTTCAGTCCCATATAGATCCCGTATGTCAGCAACACTGTCCTATGCGCTCCCGCGTCTGCCGGCTCGTCGCTCGACTACGGGCCTATATTTTGCACCTGGCTGGGACACCGCCAATCGACTGACCTGCCGTGTTCGCTCTAGGCTCATCTCGATAGCGTACGGCCAGATCGGCATGATCCAGGCGGCGGCCGGCTTCTTCAGCTACACGGTCATCATGGCTGAGAACGGTTTCCTACCGTGGGATCTGTCCGGCCTGCGCAAGTCCTGGGACTCCAAGGCCGTCAATGATCTCAAGGACTCCTACGGCCAGGAATGGGTGTGTAATCTGAGTCAGACAGGCGCGTTACCGTACAATGAACCGTCCCTGCACCTCCAGGGCAGACCATGACCTACGAATGCCGTCATTTAAATATTTGGAAACCTTTACATGCATGTGCTGTTTCAAACTGATATTCCGCGGTAGAAATCGCGTTTTGATTAAAGGAAAGCTGTAGACATTTTTACGTAGCGCCCAACGAATTCTAAACTAAGGAAACACGCGATTTCTTCTGCGGCTACCGGCCCTGACCGCCGTATCCGGTCACGCTCTGGGCTGCCCTCTACGACACCCCCACCCGCCGTATCCGGTCACGCTCCGGGCTGCCCTCCACGACACCCCCATCCGCCGTATCCGGCCACGCTCCGGGTTACCCTCCACGACACCCCTGCTCGCCGTACTCGGTCACGCTCCGAGCTGCCCTCCACGACACTCCTGCTCGCCTTTTCAGACGTACGCCGACCGCAAGGTGCTCGAGTACACGTGCCACACGTCCTTCTTCGTGGCGATCGTGATCGTGCAGTGGGCCGATCTTATCATCTGCAAGACGCGCCGCAACTCCATCGTCCAGCAGGGCATGACCAACTGGGCGCTCAACTTCGGCCTGCTGTTCGAGACGGCGCTGGCCGCCTTCCTCTCGTACACGCCGGGCATGGACAAGGGCCTGCGCATGTACCCACTCAGGTGAGACCTCTCACTCACGCGTGGCAGAGACGAGGGTCCGCGCGTCCTCCCGCTTAGGTGAGACCTCTTGCTCACGTCGGGCAGAGACGAGGGCTTGCGCATGTACCCACTCAGGTGAGACCGCTCACTCACGTGTGGCAGAGACGAGGGTCTGCGCGTCTTCCCGCTTAGGTGAGACCTCTTGCTCACGTCGGGCAGAGACGAGGGTCTGCGTGTGTTCCCACTCAGGTGAGACCTCTCACTCACGTGTGGCAGAGACGAGGGTCCGCGCGTCTTCCCGCTTAGGTGAGACCTCTTGCTCACGTCGAGCAGAGACGAGGGCCTATTTGTGTCCCTGCTCAGATGAGATTGGCGTGGGCCTGCTGACGCGAGATATGTACTAGCCGGGGGACATGGTTTGCTTGGTGCTCCAGTGGTTGTGGTGTTTGCATTTTGGGGCTTTTATGTCATGACCACAGTTTTAAAATATGTCAGTGGGAATGCTTGCGCGAACATTGCCTGCCCGTTCAGCGGCATCATTTAGGAGTCCTATAGAATCAACAGACACTGACCTTCGGTTCATTGCCACCCCATTGTGCACATTTCTCAGCCCACCAGCATTTGCCAACAGGCACTGTTACACTTGGCCTGCCCACACTCATACGGAACATTTCACACATGTGCGCTCGTTCCACAAACGGAAATCGCGCAAGAGCCCGTTCACACGTGTGCCGCCCAATCACTGTCGGCAGCCCATCCCCCCCCCCCCCTAACACGCTCAGACGCCGTGTGTCCGTGCTGTGCTGACGTCACCACGTCATCCTTCCCGTCGGCAGGTTCGTCTGGTGGCTGCCGCCGCTGCCCTTCTCGCTCCTCATCTTCATCTACGACGAGTGTCGCCGGTTCGTCCTGCGACGCAACCCCGGCGGCTGGGTGGAGAACGAGACCTACTATTGAGGCCGTCGACCGCCCGGCGCTGTAGTCACGCGCGGCCCGCACTCCGCTGCGTCTAGCTCGTTGGACATTGGTACGGCAGCGCCGCCTCGCGGCCGCCGCCGGAAACTTGCCTCGCCAGCCGGGGCGCTTCGCAATATAGAGGTGTCGGCGCCCCTCGCGGATCGAAGGCTGCTGTTTTACTCCTGTGTTTTATGTTGTCACTAAATATATGCGAGTTTGTTGCTCCCATCTCGTGCGGTGTGTCGGAGAGCGCCGGCGCCGGTGAGAGGCCGGCAGCAGTCCGGCTGGCGGCGAGTCCGCTGCGAGTCATGACTCGACTCGGCCGCTGGCGAGTGGTGGCCTCACGCTGGCGGAGTCCGGGACTCCAGACCGGCCTGAAGCTGCGCCGATCACGGCACCAGCAGTCTAGTGCAGAACCGCGCCAGATCAAAGAGACCATGCTCTGACAGCTTCTCTGGATAGAGTAGCCACCGTCCACTTCTCTTAAGGCGTGCTACGATTGAGCCGCGCCGCTCACAACACCCCTGGCGGCCATGTGCGACACCAACGTTGCAGCGTTGTGCTAAGCCTGCCTTCGCTCTAGCTCACGTGTATGTTGAATCAATAGTAAATGGCCAACACCCGTGCCGCCGCCAAAATGAAACGCATTAAATATTTGCACGTCCAATGCACGCCTCCGTTCCCAGGATCTCAATCGCCACTTATGTAAATTAGCCTCCAGTACGCGGCGTAGCATTGTGAAAGCACGCAAGGCACATTAATGACCGAAATGTGACCTCCCGTCTTGTCTCGTGTCCGGAATGTTCGGCTTCAGCATTGCACAAAACAGTTTCACTGGTACACGCAGCCTGCGAACGGCCGTCGCTTGGATGGCCCGTTTCGCCAGGCGGTCATCCAACGCCGTCAAGACATTGACTCTCAGCTGTCGTCAAGGTATTGTCGCCCAAAAACGAGTAGCGCACGCCCTTGAATACATTAAAAATATATGTGGAATTTAATTCACAGGGTCAGTGACAACGTTTATATTTCTATCAGCGGCTTTTAGAGAGATAGGCGCACAGCAGCCACTAACAGCTGTATTTCTGTTAGCAGCTTAGCAGCTTTTACCTGTCTCAAGGTGGGTTGCTCGCTGCCACTAGATACTGCGTGAGATTGCGGCGGTAATGATGTGTCGAGATGTCCGCAGCCCTGTGCCGTTACATATGTATATTCATAAATTGTGCTGCATATAGCAATGCTAAAAACGAGTGACAGGGATATTTGTAGTACATTGGGTTATACGACTTTCTGTCGACCACTTATTACACATCGTATTTTGGTGTTCGTCAATACACTTAGAAGAAAAATATAAAGATATCTAGCCGTCCTTTCTGATGCGTTAAGTCTGTAACCTTCACCCAACAGATGACGAGGCCCTTTCGGATGGGTTAAACCTGAAGCCTTCGTCCAACAGCCGACGGGCAAGTTCAGTGAGCAGCGGGCAGCGAGCATCAAATCAATGCACGGCCCGGCCGACGAGTGATTTTTTAACACGCGTTCCTTACTTATTGGCTTCCAGCATCCTGTGTTCATCCTCACTGGTCGGTTAAATTCACTCGCGCCAGTTTTGCAACTTACTGTTGGCCCCTTGTTGCCTAAAGCTACCGGTCGAATTGAGTCGCGCACGAATAATATATCACCAGTGTTCATCGTGGGTAGAAAATGTTATGCGCCCAATGCATGTTTCCTTCTATTGAACTTCCGTTTTAGCCGTTTATGTAGTAATGGGAAAAATAATTCAAAAAGGCAGAAAGCATTAGTTGAGGTGGGAACTGTGCAGCATTGCGGTTTTAGGCACAACAAGGTCTTTCGACCGTCTATCACACATGCGCTGTGTTATCGGGACACCTTGTGCCTCATGCACTTTTCTCTTGCCCATGGTGGTATCCAGCTTAAAATACTCCTACTGAATTATGAGATCAAGGTTTTACAACTCGTGCTGCCTCGAATGCAGCTGCAATTCAGAAGTCTGCCAAAACATGAGCTGAGGTGATGTTCTCTGCCGCGTGTTCAGTATTATCAGATGTATATAGTCATCGTCGATAGCATGTTCCATTGGCCCTCGCACGGATTGGTGCAGCCGGGGGTCGGGCGCTCGCCCCCCCCCCCCGCCCATTTTGGCCCATATTTTGTTCACCATAGA